TGTACATATTGATTGTTGTGCTTTTATTTATGTCTTAATGCGTGCGTATGTATAAATGTGTCTTTTGATTGGGTATATAGGATATACATATTTTTATACATATTTTCATATTTGTATTTTTGTATTCGGGATGTGGGAAACGGTATTTAGATCTCTCTGTCTGTACACACAAACTGAAAGATTGACAATAAAGTTGACTTTCACTTAACTGTCTGCTACAATCATTTCTTGTAAACATGTTAAGGTTTTCCTTGTAAGTCAAATTAAAATGTCTGAACCTTCTTCTTGGCTGTTCCTCAGGTCTGGCACACGGATGTTTTACAATGAGGGCATATTGGGATGAGTTGCAGACATTGAGACAGCGTGTGATGTATGACATAAACATAATAACGGACATAACGGACATAAACGCGAGTGAAGTGTAACCGGACGCGAGAGAGAGAGAGATCAGCTGATGAGTCTGACGGAGACACGCAGCTCTGCATGATCACCTGAAGCTCCGCCCTCTGTTTAGCGAGCTGACCGGACTGCGCAAAAGCGCGCTCATGTGATTGGCTTAGACTGGAGGAGACATCTGATTGGCTATAGATGAGAGAAATTACAACTACGGGTCTAGCGTCAGGGGAGTGTCAAAAAACCCACACACGAATGCACAGCGACCCATGCACAGAAAGCGGTTTGTGTTTGCAGGTTCAGAGGTTTTAAACGGAAAACAAATATGTGTGGATAGAAAATACATGTAAAACTTTTTTCTGTGTTTGGATTTTATTTACATGTATATGAAACGGAACACATTTGTGTGTGCATTGAAAAACACAAGTGTGGATCCGGAAATACAAGTGTGAATCCTTTTGCGGATCATGAAATACAAGTGTGAATCCTTCTGTGTGCATGTGTGTATTATGAGACTGTTCTGAGCCCATAGTGATGTTGCTTCCTCCAAACACGCCGAATATCGCATTGGAGTCTCAAGATGGAGCCATCTTTATCTCCCTCCATCGTGCATGTGATTTAGAGTGGAACTTATTTTCTTCTTAACTTTTCATTGTGTCCATGCAGGGGCGAGGGTGTTACATCATTGGACGTCCGATACGTAGTGGTCCCAGCAGACAACTGACGGAATTTTGGATATAATATTCAGCAGGTGGTTTAAAAAAAATCAGAGACGAGTGATTCAGGTAGGAAGTCAAATCTATTACTCCTAGGATTCCAATCACATGAAAAAAAAACTCTCTGACTCTGGGTCACATCACTAAGAGCCAATCAATCATCAGAAACATTCCCAGCGCACCGAGGGAGTTTGAAGTCTACGTCACACATTTTCTGTTGTTATCCATATGTCTTGTATATTTTTGGTAATTCACAAAGTGCACAACAAAAGACTTCCTCAGAGGATTGTTGACATCCACCTGGATCCATCTTCTTCTTATATATAGACATAGCCTATGATATTTTCTTGCATTAGGACTGTGTGTTGTAAATGTATTATCTTTACACACCACATCTATTGCACGTCTGTCCGTCCTAGAAAAGCTATCCCTCCTATCCAAGAGGTTTCTTCCATTTTTCCCTTTTTAAGTGCTCCATCTTTCAAAACCTTCTTAGGTTTAGGACACAATGTTGGAAAATCTTACATGAACCTGCAGCTTCAATATCAACAACAATGATTAATCAAGCATGAATTATTTGGTTGGTTTTGAGACTTTTATTCAGTAAAGTCAACAAATATCACTCATTCACATTGTTGAAATAATATGGAATGAAATAATAAGTTATTAAAATCTGCCTTTGTACAATCTTTTATTCTTATTTGAGTGTTCATTTTTTAAGTAGCCTATTTAGCAGTCATATGTGTGAAGAAAAATAACTGCAAATGCCTCAATATCTTGGTTTTATACAATATACAATTGTATGGTGAGGGTGAAGTTGATGTTTACATTAATTCAAAAACAAACATTTGCAGCAGCAGAATGAGCTATTTTTCATGTAAAACTTATTTTAGGTGACACATATGATCATATCTATATGAATATACTATACTATATGAATCAATTAAGTGATTTTGTATTAAGTAATGAAATTGCCAGTAGGGTTAGTCTTCATCAGTGTTAACAATATTTTGATTAGAGTTGTGAATCCAGCAAAAGGTTGGTTTTGTTTGTCTACAAGCAGCAGCGTAACATGATTGTGAAACTTGCCGTAAATCTTTTTCTTGGGCCCTTGCCACAAACTCAAACTTGTGCACACACACTTGTGAAGATATACACAACCTCTTCAGACCAGTGAAAAGAAGACATTGTCGCAATCAGATGCTCATCTTGCGACTCTCATTCTGCAGAATAGCCTTAAATCCTGAGTTATATTCATGGAATTGCCTCCAGGACAGGATATTGTGTAATTTTGGATGAGATGTTTGAGGGCATGAACTGACTCGCTGAACCCATATTTCCCTGAACCTAAGGCAGAGCAGAGGAAAAGACAACTTGAACGAACCTCATAAAAACCACGTGATCATGACCATTATTGCGATGTTCAACCAACCACCAAGTAGCTTTATTAAGAAGTTAATTGGTAGTACTCAGATCTTGTTTTTGAGTAAAAGTACCAGAGTGTAGGAATACTCTGTTACAGTAAAAGTCCTGCAATGAAAATGTTATGTTGTGCGCGGAGAACTGCGCACAAGCCGAGCTCATAAGGCGAGGTCCCCTGCGCGAGCCCCCCTGCGCAATGTGAGGCCCCATGCAGCCTGCATGTGCATGATCGGCCTTTAGGGAGGGACGGCCCTGCCCATGCTGCCTTCAGGGTGTCACAGGGTTTCTTGGACTGAGGTCGTGTTGTTCACTATTTTATAACAAATGTTTTTATGCAAGAACTTATATAAACATCATATATTTTGTAGAGTGGTAGACATATAATGTAATACAACAAATTACATTAAATAAACAAAGATGTTATGTACACAATTATTTTTGATTGCATTTTTATTCATATTTTTTTAATTCTTGGTAAACATGTTCAAAACACGTCTTTTAATGAATATGACCCTTCCCTAAAAAAAAAAAGAACTACAAATAAAAAAAATCTGTATCTATTCTACCACCTTTAAACTATAAATGATTCTATCCTGGAGTTGTACTTTTTCTAAGTTTGTATTTTTAATGATTAGTTTGTTATTTTTGGTGTTCACTATTTCCCAACCACAAATAATCACAACACGCCGGCTACGGAAAGCGAGGAGGGTCCTTTTTATTAAAAGCTTTTCCGCTTCCCCACACTGTCAACATTTGCAGCGATGTCGGAGCCGGAGTCTCTGCGGGGCTCCAGTGCCAGAAACCGTGGAGGAGTACAGAGGGTGGAAGGAAAACTGAGAGCCAGCGTAGAAAAGGGGGATTACTATGAAGCACACCAGATGTACAGGACTTTATTTTTTAGGTAAGACTTACGTTTTGTATGTGCAGTTAAAACTGTCAGTTGCCTTTTCAGGGCCTGCCTGTTCCAGATCCTTCCACTGTCAACCTTGCTGGTGCGCCTGTCGGTTCGTGATTGGTTGAATCTCACCGCGGACCCACCCACTCTCGTTGGACCGACTGTTTGTGTGGACAAGCTTTGCTGTCAATCAAAGATCCACAAAATGGGAATGCTAGTTAGCGAGCTAGCTACGTGTTTTAGCAACACATAAATGGCCAAAACCGAGTTAGCTAGACTGCTAAAACAAGACAGTCAGAGGTTCTGTGTGTTTGGGTTATTAGAAAACATACTTTACATGTACATCAAGAGAACATAACCGTTGTAGTTTTCTTATTTAGGCTGTCCAGCTGCGTTAGCATGTAGCCATTTAGCCACCTTATGCACCACCGCAGTCTGAGCTAAGAGGTGCTACCCATAAATCTTTATAAAAAATAAAACACAATATAATAAAATCATGATCGCTCTCGGTAAGATAAAGGAAGGCAAAACCAATACGCTAAATAAAAACCTATACAATAATAAAACGATATTAAAATATAGATTAAAAGACCATTTAAAAAGATGTTTTTTTCTGCTGTTTACCTAATGTATTTATTCTGTACAGCTAGTTATTCAACATATGTATTGTCATATATATAAAGTATAATTGGGCAGTTGCACAGAACAGTGAATTAGTTTACGTTCAGCTCTCCACACCTTAATATTAAGAAACGATACATACAGACAAACATATAAGATAAAAACTAGCATAATACATTTTAAAAATATAAGCTGAACTGCATGTTCTGTCTCAGAATACATTTGTTTCATTTACGATCAACTTATATATATATTTTAAATATCAGTTCTGTTTTATTTTCTAATTTGAGATGTTGTTGTTGGTGTATTTTCTACTTTTTTTTTTAATATGTGCAATGCCTAACATGCTGCTGGGCTGAAAAAGTCTATATCTTATCTTATTACGATCTCATGACAGCTGGACACATGTTGTAGGATAATTCTTGTCAAAACCCAGTGTCTGCCTATTTCCATTAATTAAAGAACATTCACACACGCACATATATATCAATAAAGTGATAGAAACAGCAGTTTGTCGTAATAAATGTATAAGTAATGCTGCCAAACTGATATTTACCTGGAGCATAGTAAACTAAATAAGGTGATCTGTTCTGAATTAAATTCAATCCAAACATATCCCTCGCCATATCAAATAGTGAGTGTGTTCCCTTCTGCTGGTCATTTTCCTTCCCTTGACCAACAGTTTCAATTCCAATGTTATCTCCTGTAAATCATTTCCTAAATGTAACTTGGTTCGTCTAAAAAAAAAAAAAAATGCTTCAATTGGCCCAACAAGTTGTTGTTGTACTTATTTGCAAAGTTCACAATGACACCATGTTTGGTCCCTCAAGCTAAACCCACAGCATGGTTCTTATCTTTCACCCCCATGCGGGAAGGTTCTTGAGTGATGCAAACTAAGCGTGTGACTGTTTTGAAAAGCAGATGTAAGATAATAACAGCATGTTGTGCTTTCCCTTCATCAGGTACATGTCACAGGCAAAACATGCTGAGGCCAGGGAGCTGATGTACAATGGAGCTCTACTCTTCTTCAGCCATAACCAGGTACATTTAGATGTTACATTCAATTAGCCGGCCACAACAGGTTTGTTTCAACCTGTTTCAAGTGTTAGATTAGTGTGCCCATGTTCGTGGACACGCCCCCTGATAGGTTGATGAAAATGTTATGTTTCAAAGTTTGTTGGGCCACTGTTTTTACTATCTACTTTAGTTTGACTTTAATACCAGAGTAGGCATATCAGATTATTACTGGTGACGTCACGTCGTGTCACGTGACTTGAATTTAGAATTGAGCCGTCCCTTTATAGATACTATCACTTTTTGATGGGAATTCCGGCTCTTTTTAGTGAATCGGATCATTTGGCTCGGCTCACTAAGAAGAGCCGGCTCCCAAACGGCTCTTCATGTTACCACGGTTTACCACGGTTTACCACGGAGCGCTGGTTTCACCGCTGCGAGGCTCCGGCGCTCGCAGTTCACGCGCGTGCTCCACTAGCACCCCCCGTCAAGGCTCGTCGGCAGTACACTTTCCGTCACAGGAACGCACTTTGCTGGCGGCGAAAAGAATCCCACCAGACTCCTTTGCCCCTCCAACAGAGGGATGTCCTTGTCCTTTTTCCTTTTCGTCATTTCAAGCGATAAAAACTCGGATCTTCTCTCAAATTATTTATTTTTTTGGACGCCCTCGGCTCGAGTTCAGGGCGCTCCGAGCTGAAAGGGTGATAAATGACGGCAAGACGCCCTCTGGCAGAAACGCTGCCACACACACGGTTTCAGATGTTAGGCCTTAATCAAATCTGTTTTTACTGTGGATGTAAAGATAGTGATACATTCATAATGGAAAGATGTATTAAGCTTCTTCTCCTGTCCCCTCTGGCTCTTGTGCAAAGTTTATTAAATTCTTAACTTGTGTTTCTCCAGCAAAACAGCGCAGCAGACCTGTCCATGCTGGTGCTCGAGGTGTTTGAGAAATCTGAGGTAAAAGTTGAAGATGAACTATTAGGTAAGTGGCAGCTTTGAACTTTTTTTTAAATATTTCAAATACACCTAAAATAATCCCTTTGCTTCGAGATGTTTACGGTGAGAGTTTTATTATGTGTGTGTTGAGCAGAATGCCTGGCGAAGCTGTTCAGCCGGATGGAGCCGAACTCTCCGGAGAGGGTAGCGTTTGTGTCCAGAGCCTTGAAATGGTCCACAGGAGGGCCCGGCAAACTGGGACACCCAAAACTACACCAGCTGCTGGCTGTCACTCTGTGGAAAGGTAACATGGATCAGCAATGTGACCCAGTGTACAGGGTTATAACTCATGTTTGACACAAGTCAGAATACATTTTGAACTAAACGGTATACAATAGATTCAAAGAAGGTTTTTATCGTCATATGCACAAAGCTAGTGTAGAAATGGCAATGAAATTCTTCTGACCTGAGCTCCTCCAACGATGCAACATGTATGATAAAATACAAAGTAGTGCAAAAAGTCTATATACTGTAAGCCGCAAGTTGACTAA